ATATATATATATACCCGAAGAGAAAAGAGAAAATGACAAGCGAATCTGTCTTAAATAAACAATCATGTAATAATGTTCACATCCTAGATGAGATAAAATACTAAAAAAACAGTCCCAATACGGGGACAACCTGAAATTAATTTCTAAATCAATTTCAGGCGGATGTTTTTATGCTCATGATGATTACAAAGAAGACACACAAACAAATAGAATTTGGAAGATTTTTTTGGGTATTTGTAGCATCTTATTTTTTTATATTTTTGTTATTTTGGTATTTGATTTTGTTTTAAGTTTTCTATAACAGCATTGTACTTTAAATATTAAATTGTTTTTTCTATTTGAGCATTTTACTTTTTTTTATATTTTAGTTATTTATAACATTTTATTTTTGTTTTTTTTATCAATTATATCATTGCATTTTAAACAATTATATTATATTGTTGTTTCTTATTGTAGTGATTTACTTTATGTTTTCATTGCTAACAATAACATCCTGCTTTATTTGTTTTTTTTACAATCCACATTGTTTTTTTTTCTTTTATAAAAAATAGCATTCTCAATAATAGCATCTTACTTTATTTGCTTTTTTTTACAATCAATATTGGTTTTTACAAAATAAATAAATAAATAAATAAAATAATAGCGTTCTCAAGAATAGCATCCTACTTTTTTTTTTAAATCCACATTGTTTTTTTTTTTTACAAAAAATAGCATTCTACATAATAGCATCCTAATTATCCCAAATACACATACTTTCATATACATATACCACATATACACCAAATACACATACTTTCACATACATATATAATAGCATCCTACTTATACTAAATACACATACTTTCACATATATACATAATAGTATCTTACTTATAATAAATACACATACTTTCACATACATCTACCACATATACACCAAATACACATACATATATAATAACATCTTACTTCAACCAAATACACATACTTTCACATATATACATAATAGTATCATACGTATACCAAGTACACATACTTTCACATACATATACCACATATACACCAAATACACATACAGAATAGCATCATACTCATACCAAATACAAATACTTTCACATACATACACCAAATATACATACTTTCACATACATACACCAAACACACATAGATTCACATACATATATCAAATATAGACACATATGCCAATTTCACATAATATATACGAATACACATATTTTGCAATTAATCTCGAAATTCACAATAAATGGAACCTATGGTGGCAGAAATCAACAGATGGTGCAGTGGTGGCGGTAGTCGTCGGTGGTGACAACAATAATCGCCGGTAAAGCTGGAAATCAAAAACTGAAATTGACATTTTTTGCAATTAGTTACTATTATAAGCTGAAAATCGATGTTACAAGATAAAGAGGAAGAGAAATGAGCAAGAGATGACCTACTGTCGCCGGAAATGCCCTACAGTCATCGAAGAAATGTCAAATCTATCGTCGGTATCTCCTTTTCACCGCCAGAATCTCACAGTCGGGAGTTACTTGGCCAACGAGGTGCTCCTCGTTGGCTGAATCGGTCGATGGTCAGAAATGGGGAAGAAAAAAAAACAAGAGAAGATATGGAAGCACCAGAAAAAGAAAGTGAAGAGAATGCGTCAATTTTTTGTTATTTGCGTAAAGCTATACCGACGATACATTTACTGTTAACGTTTTACCCTTTAGCAGCGACAAACATCAATAGCGACGACAATGGTGGAGGGAAGTATAGCGCGTTTTTTTTCGACCTTTAGTGGCGACAATTTTGGCCTTTAGTGGCGACATTTTGTCGCCGGTATTGAGTTTGTACGAAAAGGAACCCCAGCCGTTGGATTAGATCGTCGATCGGAATGTTGAGATTTATCGGAACGGATTAGTGCGGATTCGGTCCCCTAAACATTACCGGCGACGCTATTAGCGGCGACATGGAGTACCTTTAGCGGCGACTCTTGCTTGAGTCGCCACTAAAAGTCTATGTCGTCGTTAATAGCATCGCCGTTAATAACATTATTTCTTGTAGTGTCGATAAATCAATATTTTTGTATATTTTGTTGTTTCTTTTTCTTAAATAATTTTATATTTAAAGTGGGACTGGGACCGCTCTAATTGAAGAAAAAAATGGGTATTTGGTCACTCTTTTATAAGACAAATACAAAAGAAATTAAAATATATAGAACCCACGATGATATATCTCATTCATGTACCTATCATTTAAAATCCAAATAATTGACGACTTTTTGCCCTAGCTTCATTCACACCCAACTCGGTGATTCAAATGATTTGTGGCCATAAGGTGATGCAAAATAGTGACAAAAAGATAATGCTAACTTATGTCACACCATCTCCCCTATAAATTATGCATTTTAGAAACACCATAACTACACAAAGAAAAAACAATGGAAGATATCCACATCCAACACAAAACTCATGATGGAAAAAGGCCCAAAGGTGGCCTCATCACCATGCCCTTCATATTTGGTACACTCTTTCTTCTTTCATTTACTTATTTTAATTTTTACAAAAACATAAACAAGACTCATTGCTCATGATTTCTGATGGTTTGATGTACATTTAGCGAATGAGGTGTGCGAGAAGCTTGCGGTGGTTGGATTTCAGACGAATATGATAAGTTACTTAACACAACAACTTCATATGCCCATGACAACAGCCGCCAACACCCTAACTAACTTTGGTGGCACCGCGAGCCTGACTCCTTTGCTCGGGGCTTTCATAGCCGATTCCTTCGCCGGTCGGTTTTGGACCATCACAGTTGCTTCCATAATTTATCAAATTGTACGTTTTCAGCTTCCAGCTTTCAGCTATCAGCTTTCTGTTTTCTTGTCCGCTTTTAATGTAAAATCTTACCACTTACTTTTATTATCACTAGGGGATGGTATCTTTGACAACATCAGCAATACTACCAAACCTAAGACCACCACCATGCCAAAATGGACAAGTATGTCAAGAAGCCAACACGGGTCAACTCGCAATCTTATACGTATCCCTTCTGCTGACCGCAATCGGGTCGGGCGGGATCCGACCCTGTGTGGTGGCATTTGGGGCAGACCAGTTTGATGAAACCGATGAGAAACAAAAGACTAGCACGTGGAAGTTTTTTAACTGGTATTATTTTTGCATGGGGGTATCTATGCTTGTTGCAGTGACAGTTATAGTTTATATTCAAGACTATGTGGGGTGGGGATGGGGTCTTGGTGTTCCTTCGATAGCCATGGCTCTTTCGATTGTGGCCTTTGTGTTCGGGTACCCGTTGTACAGGAATATGGATCCATCGGGTAGCCCGTTTACCCGGTTGGTGCAAGTGTGTGTTGCAGCTTATAAGAAGAGAAATTTACCAATGGTTTCGGATGCTAAGTTGTTGTATGAGAATGAAGAGCTTGATGCCTCGATATCTATTGCTGGGAGACTTATCCATACGAAACAAATGAAGTAATTCTCTATCCTCTTCATAAAATAATATCTAATATATAGTGAAATATTATACAAAAGAAATACTTATAAAAATAAAACGAATTTTTAATATTATAAACATGTTTTTATGACAAGCCAAAACCTTGAACAGACACCTTACACATATCCTTCCAAATCGTTGCAGGTTCTTGGACAAAGCAGCCATTGTTACAGAAGAAGACTACGCAAAATCGCGATCAAAACCAAACTTATGGAGATTAAACACAATCCACAGAGTCGAAGAACTAAAATCCCTCCTCCGAATGGGTCCAATCTGGGCATCTGGAATCATTCTATTCACAGCCTACGTTCAACAAAACACATTCTCCCTACAACAAGCCAAAACCATGGATAGACACCTCACAAAATCCTTCCAAATCCCCGCAGGATCCATGTCCGTTTTCACCTTAAGCTCCATGCTCGCCACCATCGTCTTCTACGACCGTGTCTTCGTCCCCATCACGCGGAGGTTCACAGGGGTAGAACGGGGAGTTTCTTTTCTCACCAGAATGGCCATCGGTTTTACTATATCGATTCTAGCCACACTTATAGCTGGGTTCATGGAGATAAAGCGTAAAAATGCCGCTTTTGCCCATGGGTTGATGGATAAGCCTCATGAAACGATTCCGATAATGGTGTTTTGGTTGATGCCTCAGTATTGTCTGCATGGGGTGGCGGAAGCGTTCATTTCGATCGGGCATCTTGAGTTTTTGTATGATCAGGCGCCAGAAAGTATGAGGAGCACGGCGACGGCTTTGTTTTGGATGGCGATTTCTGCTGGAAATTACATGAGTACCCTTTTGGTGACATTGGTGCATAGGTTTAGTCAAGGGGCAGATGGGTCAAATTGGCTTCCGGATGATAATTTGAATAAGGGAAGGTTGGAGTATTTTTACTGGATTATTACGTTGTTGCAGGTTTTTAATCTGGTTTACTACTTGTTTTGTGCAAAATTTTACACTTTTAAACCCATTGAAGTTGTTAATAGAGATAGAGGTGAAGTCGATCATCATGGAAAAGAACTTGAGCTTGGAAGCCATGTTTGACTAGTATTTAGGACTTGCACTCGCTTTTGGTTGAAGGTTTAAACTGTAAAGTACCAAAAGGTATATGTAGTGGTCAAAGTCAAAGGGGTATATATGTAATCTAAGTTTAAAAATCTCGATACCAAACTACTATTAAATCATCGATTAAGCTTTGTATTTGCTTGTATCGTTCTTAACTTCTTTGGTCGACTTCCATGTGTCACTAATTGTTAGGCATCTTGATTTGGTGTTAACTGCTTCAATCCACCACATTTTAATATCAAATTTGGTGCTAAAGTTAAAAGTTTATTACACTTGTAGTTTTTTAATTGTTTCAAGTTCGATTTATATTCTTTGAGTTAATTTAATCTTATATCATATATTTTGAGTTATTTTAATTGTTTCAAGTTTAAATTTATATAATTCTAATTTATTTTAATTGTAAAGTTATTGTAACAGAAAAATATAAAGACAATTTTATAGAAAACGAATAATAAAAGAGATATTTTTGAAATCTAAATAAGTTTGAAACAAAAATATATTTAAAATATTATTTTTGGTGTAAAAATGATGTTAGATTTGGAGATGAAGGAGTAGTTGTTAAAATGTGGATATACATAAACATAAACCTCTTAAATCAGGACCACGACTAGAACAGCTGAAAGTCTGAAGCTAATTTATCTACACTAGAGTCGGGTAAGGCTGGTAGCACAAAATTGGTAACATCATCTACAATGCAAGTAGTATAAGAGTTGAATAGGGTGATGATTAGGATTGAAAAAAAGTTGAATGGAGTATGGATGATGACATGGAATAGAGTTGAATAAAGGAGTTGAATGATCATTGAATGACTCAATAAAAAGAATAAAGTGATGATTAGGATTGAATAAGTGTTTAATGGGTTGTGGGTGATGTTGTATAGATGTTTAATTGATGACGTGTCAATCCTTTGAACTCTTTAGAGTTCAATGAATCCATTGAACTCTATAGAGTTCAATAGATTGTGAATGTCTATAGAGTTCAATAGATTGTGAATGACATATTGAAGGAAGGAATAAATATAAAATATTCATTCCTACTTTTTTTTGTTTTGATGCATGTGGGGTTGATAACCTGGGGTTGATAACGTGCCCTCTGATTTTCTTTTATTTTTTATTTATTTTGTTTTAATATAAATCTGTACAATGAAAATGAATATATTGACATTTCTTATTTAATTAGATAATGTTATTTTTTTTTTATCTTATTGGTTTTGATTTTGATGCATGTTGTGATAAAAAATATTATGTGTTATTATATTTTATATTTTTTAATGAATTGAATGGGTTGGATAAGATAGAGTTTTCATGTGTTATGGGTTGAGAGAGTTGAAAGAGAGGAGATAGAAAAACTGATGTGGTGCTGATGTAGCAATGAGTTGAGTGAGTTGTAAGGGAATGATTCCCCCCTTCCTGAGAGCTATAAATGGATAATGTTTTTGTTCGCCTTGTTTGTAGACTTCACTAGTATTGTGAGCCATCGCGATTATTTGAATCATTTCAATTGTCCATGGGATATAGTTATATATTTTGTTTTATTGAAGGGTTGAATTTTATACTTAGTGAGAAGCTGGAAAATAAGAATTACAAAGTAATATTCATAATTGGGTTTTGAATCCATGAAACTCATGACTTTTAGTTTTCGAAATCTAAAAGCTATGGAACAGTTGAATTTTATAATTAGTGAGAAGTTGGAAAATAAGAATTACAAAGTAATAGCCTTATTTAGTTTGGGTTTTCAATCCATGAAACCGATATGACTTTCAATTTTCGAAATCTAAAAGCAAACCAATTACATGAGCTCGCTACAATGCTATCAAATAACACATTTATCATAATAGCATTCGTTCTAATGATCAATGAGTTACGATACCTTCAAGTACTTCACCACTACTCATGATAATAGCTTTCATCGCATACTTTTTTCACGTGTCATATGCAACAAGTCAAACCACTCAAAGACATCCGTGAGACCGTGACAAAATGAATGTCATGTCATACCTTATTACAATCCTACTACAAAGTTGAGATGAGACCTTGCAGTAAGAGAACATATCTTCCGGTTGCATAGAATTTATTCTAATAAATCAAAATCCATTTGTCACATGTCATTTTGAGATATTTTTTAAATAAATAATATCTATATGTCAATTTATAAATTTTTTTTAATTTTCAAAAATTTAATAGCCACATAATACTAATATATATATATATATATATATATAT